CTATGCGGTTAATCATATAGTTAATAACGGTTTCATATTGTTACCGTTAATTAACGGTTACGGGTTATATATTTTTTAACTATAACTAATTATTTTTTACGGTTACGGTTTTCAACCGTTTTATACGGTTACGGTTGAGAAACGGTCCGGTTACGGTACAACATATGGTTACAGTTAGCTTTTAGTCATGCCTAGTAAGCATGACCAAAAGCCAACCATAACCGTATTTTGGATCGTAACTGGACCGTTTTTTAACCGTAACTGTATAAAACGGTTAAAAGCCATAACCATTCACCGTAAAACTAAATTAGTTACGGTTAAAAAAAATATAATAACCATAACCGTTAATATACCGGAAACGTATCAAAACCTTTATTTAACAGTACGATTAGCCGCATGGTTAACCGTATTATTAACCGCATAATTAAACTTTATAAAATATAATTGTAACTATGTATAATGCAAAAAAAAAAGTCTCCAATGTTCAGATAAAGATTTCCGAAAAAGTAAATAATACAGCCTATGAAAAAATCTCATTAGAAATAATAGTTTTTTTCTCAAATAATTATTTTGGAATGTTATATTGCTCAAAATAAAGAAAATTTTATTTATTATAGGACTAGTAAATTCATATTATTATTCTAACAATAAAGTATTGTTCATTCTATATAATCTTAATTTTTATATGTAATTATATACTAAAGTATATTTCTATATACTTTTTTCTTTCTTTCTAAATTCTTAATATTATTTATTATGTGTACCGCTATGATGTTTCTAATCAGAATAAATTTTTAAAATTTGTTCTGCGTTATTTTTTTGTACAGCTTTCGTGTTTTATTCTTTTGTACAGCTTTGCACTATTCCCTAACAGCTAACAGCTCTAGCTAACCGCTCCAGCTAACAGCTTGTTACCAATCAGACCCAATAATATTCTACATTTGTAATTTGAATTAAATGAACGATTATTGTTAAATAAAAATGAAAAAAAAAAATTTAACCAAAAAGAAAACAAAAATAAGCGTTCTGTATTTTTGTCGGTAACGTGATATGAGCTTGATAATCGACGGTTGCGGGACCCATCTGACCGACAAAGAATTCATTAATTTTTTTTTTCCACAAGAGTGTCTACTTTATTAACACATAGCCAAAGTTAACCAGTACATAAGTGATTCTTCCACTTAAACCAAAGAAGAAGACAAACTAAGCTTATAAACGATCTTAAGCAAGCTCGCATAGATCAAAATTTGGCATCAAACTAAGAAGGACTTAGTAGAAAGAGCAAATCTAGCAGAAATTCAAACAGAAAATAAAAGACTAAAAGAGGATTGACTAAATCTCTCACTTAACTCCTGTTCCAGGAACCTTTACACTTAACGCGCGACCGGCAGAGCTGTGAATGCAATTGCATCAACCCGAAACTTCTGCAAGAGTCTCGACCACTGAGATCCTAAAGCTTGAAAGGAAAGTAACAACTTCAACGACCTGCTTCTCAATTTCAAACCCAAATGACGCAGACGAGAGAACAAGGAAGAGTCTGCGAAATAAACCAAGATGAGAAACACCAACTACAACGAGAAGGAAAGCTGATGGAAGACCGACTCCCTGAATTATCTATCTCAGAGCAATCAAAAAGGCCTAGTCTGGAGTTTCCATAATCAAGAGAAGAGTACCGGAGAAGCACAATCCGCACCACTAACAAAAGCAAGCCAAAGATCGAACTAGCCACACGACTTAAAACTTAAAACTAAAACCTAATTAACTAAAAAAAGCCCAAAATCCAAATCAGTGAACCTCAACAGGAAAACGATGACTTGAAAATCGCAGGGACCGCTCCGAGAAGGGTCACAGCAGAGGAAGATTTCGGCACCGTTAAGCTTGAAAGCATCGTGAAGAGTGTCGAAGACTTCAGGAGGCACCAGATTCCGAGACCGCCGAAAAAACCTGACCACGAACTTCTCGACTTTGGAAGAGGTGTTTCACATAAATGACAGTGGGTGCCATTAGGGCTTCACCAAGGGTAAGCGCATCATTCAGCGAAAGATTGCTTCGGGCCAGTACCCTTCTTACTAGAAGGGAGCCCAATAAGAACATGTCCATCCACTATGTTTTTTTCCGTTTATAACAGAAGCTTTCTTAACTATGCCTACTGCAAACCCACTGAGATCATAATCACCCTCTGCATAAAAGTCGGGCATCTCTGCAGTCTCTCCTCCTAAGAGAGCACAGTCCGATTGCCGACAACCTTCAACAATGCCTTTAATGACCTTTTCTGCAAGGTCTACATCAAGACGACTAGTTGCATAGTAATCTAGGAAAAACAGAGGCTTTGCACCAGAAGTAATAATATCATTCACACTCATAGCAACCAAGTCGATTCCAATGGTGTCGTGAATGCCAGTCTCAAGTGCCAATTTCAAATTAGGCCCTACACCATCCGTACCAGCTACGAGATAATTATCACCTAGTGGAAAGAGACCACCGAATACGCCGATTCCAGGAGCCATCTTGGCGATTCGTTTAACAAGCTCAGCCCCAGCATCAATATCAACACCTGAATCTTTGTAATTGAGACTATCAGTGCCATCATCATCATCAGTGCCATCATCTTTCTTCGACATGGATAAAACACGAGATACCCTTCCCCTTGTTCTCGTCGTCTGAGTAAAGCTGATCGAGAGAGGTTTCAGTGATGATGATGCAGGGGAGAAACGGTATCGATTGACAGTGTCAAGAGACGAAAAGCAGCAAGAAGAAGACTGCAAAATCCGAGCTTCCATGACGGAGGAGAAAGAGACTGAGATTTGAGGCGACGCCACGAGCTTAGTCAAGCACTGGATTTGAGGTGAGTGAATCGGAGAAGAGCCAAGACCAGCAAAACCAAGGAAGACTCAGAAACGGACCCTCCCACGGCACCGGCGAGAAGCGCCGACTAGCAGAGAGGGCACCGCCGTTAATCGCCCTTCACCGCTTCACCGACCTAACTTTTCCGGAAGAGTCACTTTGATTCCACAAAGAATTCATTAATTCATTAGCCATTTTATTTATTTTTGTCAACAAAACCAACGTCATTATTAATTTTTGCTTATTTGATTTTACACTAGATGGCATCTGAATCTTTCATGGCATCTGTGATTTAGTTTGTCCACGTTTGTTTCATCTCTTGATCGTTTTATATTAGTCCCTTATACTTGATTTCATGTGTGTAAACCAGTTCTTGACCATGTATCATGACACGTGATTCGGTCATTGTCTGTATCATCAGCGTAGGATTTGTTGGAGGTCAATGGATTGTGGGAATTATTGATGAGGTTAGAAAGGCATCTGCAGATGAGTCTTCTGATATTGCACCGTCATTGACAGATACCAAAGACTAGAGTCCGTGACACACTAGCTCCCAGCTGAACCCCAAATGGAAGGTAAGAGCTTGGTTTATATTCGTTTAGTAAATAAATTAAAATGCTCTTCGGTTTGGTTTTGGCCGCACTAATCGTAAGAAGTTGCTATATATGTTAATCTTACTTAAATTAATCATGTTACAGGCTACATGTAATGCTTTACAAGCTTCTGTGCGAAAAAAAAGAGTTCCCAACAGGACGTTTTCTCGACTACTTCTCTTTGAACTGTCACCATGTCTTATCGCGAGCTGTCATAGATAACATTGCTGATGCAGGAATCCCAGAACAGGTATACTAATCATTGACTCTAGAAAATATTCCTTTAAGTAGTCCTCATTTTTGATAGTATGAAAGAAATTCACTCATTTGGAAATGAGTTTATTGATATTCTCACAGTTATTTATCCGATGTACTATGAAAGCACTTTTAAGATGCTTCCGATAGCGAATGATCAATTACTACTACGGTAAGACGAACATCAGTCTTTCTTAATTTTATCATACACATTGATATATTTACATATATATATGACAATATAATTGTAGCAAATTCTCTAACTGATTAAGAAACTTAATTTGGCTCAGGTATGAGTTTTGAAAGACCGATCTATATAATAGCTGAGAGTAGATTTCTCATGATCCTGAGTGGGTGATGAGCAGATACAAAGAAGTCATTGAGTTTGGGAGAATCGAAAGAGAAGCTGAGTACACTCCTGAAGAACGTTGGAAATGTCGGTATTGCCAATTTGCTAAGTCTTGCTGTGGAAATCCAAGTCTCGAATCTCCTTCCCCGAGCTCACCACCAACATGGGGACGACAGAGCATCGTCCTTTAGCAAGCTAAAGTTTGAATGCTTTCATCAAAAGCTATGAAGTGTTAACATGTGTTTAGTCTTTTCACATTTGCACCCTTCTTCATTTTAGTTCATAGCATAGTGGTTGAGTGGTTAAACAGTGGTTCTAGGATTGGTTCCGTAGACCAAGATTGATTTGTACCTGTTTACAACAACTTGAGTCCATAGTATCGTTTCCATATTTGAACGAAATGTTATTGTGTTGTATAAAATATGGATATCAGTGATTACACCAACCAAAATATATGAATCAGAATTTAACACGAGCATATATTATATATATGTTTTGCAAGATCTAATGTCAAAGATCTTAGTTATAGACTTTATAGGTGAAAAATAATTTTTTTTTTAAAAAAAAATCGATTATATGAGTGGCAGCAGAAATTGGAGGGGGGAACATATTTTAAAAATGCTTATAAACATACGATCGAAAAAAAAAAAACAAAACAAAAATGACATGTAAGAAAAAACGATTTGATTCTAATTATTAAGGACTGAGTTTACAGACAACAAATCACCAAACAAACCATTTCCACTAGAATGAGGTAAAGTCTCTCTATTCAACAAATCTCTCCTCTCCTTAACTCATTTATTTACCAAGTCCAGACACTATCATTTATAGCACTATCATTTATAAAGTTGCAGGCGGATGAAGCAAGGTTGCATCCATTGCCCTGAGCAAAACGTCTCTGTTTGCTCAACTCTAAGTCAAGTCTTTAGAGATTGGTTGCGTATAAGATGGCCTGCATCACTAAATTGATGACTTTTGTAGATGGATTTAATGGTTAGTCCCAAAGCTTGGAGGATACATTTCATATGACGACCAGTTTGTTTGTCAGAGGTGAAGTTTCATTTGTGATCATGGCCATGCATATTTAAGAATTAACGAACCCTGTTCCAATTACAGTCGGAGGCATAAACGTGGGTAATATGGATGGTTCTCGGGGAGGTGATGCAGAATGAATCATACGTTCAATGTTGGATATATTATCAGGGATGTGAAAGGAGGAGTGAAGTGGGTTGAAGCCAGAGCCATTCGGAAGACATATACGGACTTGAAACGCAAGAAATACTATTTTAATATTTATTGTCCAAGTCATAGAAAGGTTTTGTTAGTTTTGCAGCGAAGTTGTTCCTCCCTTTCAGGAATGCTACAAATAGTGGTTAGCGTAAAACATTGGCATATTCTTATAGAGTGATCAATTGATAGTTTGAGACTATCTTGGTTAGTCGAACTCCAACTAATAAATTGGGAAAACACACACATAAAAAGAATGCAAAAATTATATTACATTTACATCAATGTACAAATTTATAAATTAATTTTGAGCAGCCGACATTTGTAAAAAAAGAAAAATTTCTTAAAAATCAAACTCTTGAAATTTACCATACATTCAGTGGATATAAGCTGATATACGTAATTGGCCAACTTATACAGTTTATATATATATATATATATCAATTAATTTGTAATATTTGATTTCTAAAAGCCAAACAAAAACCAAATATGTTCTAACATGATAAAATATGAGCTACTAAAGTATTATATGATGTTTCAATCTGATTTACTTTAAATAATAATAAAAAAAAATACATATATGAACTACCTATATGGTCTTGCAGTTGTGTATGATTTTATGATTTAAGAGAAAAATTTTCCTTTTTAAAAAGTAGAAATATAGTGTGTGTGTGTGTGTGTGTGATTTATTGGTTTTTAAAAGCCCTTACAGTATTTTAACAGCATTTGTTTATCAATTTTCCTTAAACGCTTTGTTAGTGCCCTTATATAAAATTTACAGTCCCTACAGACATATTTTTTTTTCGTTTATTCACATTTATTATATTTACAGTCATCATAGTTATTTAGCAACTATTAGAAGGTTTTAAAAATTGTAGGAGTTTCTTACAGTAAAAAAAAATCTATAAATCGTAATAATAATGAAGTTTTTTTTTTCAGACATTTTTTAAGGACAAACGAGTTAGATGATAAGAAGTTTTGAGTGAATACGCTGGATTTGAAGTTTGTATCACATCTCTTGTTGACATTTTTAGTTTCTGTTAATGTTTTTAACGTTGTCACCACTTCATATGTGATGAATTTGCTCAAATTTAGCAGACATTTTTTAAGGACAGACGAATTAGATGGTAAGAAATTCTGAGTGGATACGCTAGATTTGAAGTTTGTATCACATCTCTGATTGATATTTTTGTTGGCGGTAGGGAACCGGAACATATGCGAAATTTGCCGTAATGTAATTTTGAACGTCTACCAAATTATCGGTCCAAGTCACACATTTTGATGGCGAAAAGCATGCTATCTGTCGTGCAATGATAGTCTTTGATGCACATATCTCGACAACTTTTCAATCCATCTTGGGTGTACTGTTTGACATCGTTGTATTCGATAATTTCATTAACTGTATATTGGTAAGATATATATTGATATAGTACTTTTTAACTTTTTGAACATTTTAGTACTTTTATTTATCTAAAAATTTAAGTTTTTGTATATAAATATAATATTATTTAAAATGATTATATATTATTTTTAACTTCGTAGTTTCAAGTATGTAACGAATTTTTCAAAATTTTAAAACCGTATCATGTGTTATACATCAAATATGTTAGAGTAGTTGAAATGATTAATTATGGTTGAAATTATACTAATTGTATATGTTAGTAATATGTCCAGTATAATTATTTTGTCGTAGAGTTTAAGATTCCAATACAATCATGATGGAGAACATCACATTACATAGTGCTATTTGGAAATTTATTTTGAGTATTTAGATTTTTTTTTTCTAATTTTCCATTACATGTTTACATTTTCTTTCTTATATAATATCAACTAATATTTATTTTTATATAATGTCAAGTAAAACTTAGATTATTATATGAAGACTAAATAATGATAACCATAATTAAGTTAAATATATAATAAAAATAGGGTGAATTTGTGCAGAGACAAAAACTGGACATAAAATTAGCTAATCAACAATATGGATTTTTGGTCTTTAACAAAGATAAATAAATTAGATAAATGGGTCTCGAGTTCTAAGTAATAACGAAAATGCCACAACTTTATTTGTGCATGCGCGTGGTGGAGATGTTTTTGACTTTTAAGGCATTCGGAAGAATAAACAGACATGTAATAAATGTTCACCTGTTGATAGAAACAATGAGGTGACAGTTATTAAATGCAATGACTTTATTTGAGCTTTATGAATTTTGAATCCGTAATGAAAGCAGTTTTAGACGGGAATCGAAAAATGTAAACAACTAACATAGTTGCATGGATACCTAATAAATAGTTCTTCGAATTTTTTAAACAACTAAGCTAGTTGCATGGACACCCAATAAATATTATATATGATTTTGACATTTTGTATACATATAAACAAATACATACATAGAGCGTTAAAAATAATTATAGTGTTAAATAATTCGGTCTATGTATACATGTCAATACATATATATATAGAGAACGCTATTAACATTTTTGTACATGTAAACACATACATAGAGCTTTATTAACATTTATATATATGTAAACACATATATAGAGCGTTATTTACATTTGTATACTTATATGTACGCTACAACGCTCCGCTGCCGAGTTAACAAGAAATGGGCCAACTTCCCCGAGAATGACGGTTTGGAGTAAACATCGAGTAATTTTCCGAAGCACGGACAAATAAGCTCAAGCTCCGACGGTTGCAAAGCCTTGAGGATAACCTTGATCGCATATAGCTTAAAATACTAGTTCACTCGGTCTCCTACTGGCTCTTCTCTATCAGCAAACAAACGAGAAGGAAGTTCCAGAACAGCCATGTCATGCAGAAAGAAATAAGGGTAATAAGTTGTTAGCAAAGGATTAGATCTGGAATTATAGAGCAGTATACGGGAAGGGCTAAAAGACAAAATAGATCTGTAAAGGTGGTGTCGAGAAAAGTAGAGATCTAAATAGATCTGTAAAGGTGGTGTCGAGAAAAGTAGAGATCTAATTTATCCGAGGGAGATCTATGATTATACTAGATCGAAACCCATAAACGGTAAAAATCGAAAAAAGACTATTCTGAAAGCGTAACATGATGGCGTTTGGAAATAGGAAAAACAAAAATAATTGACAGTGTTTATAAAACATCGAAAACCGAAAGAAAATGAGAAGC